GCACCTGTGTGGAAATTCACAAATCGCACCAAACCGCACCAGACGCACTTGAGTTTGTTCGTTTCTTTATTTATTTATTTGTTTGTCTGATGTGGAAGGGGGAAGGGGACTCTGCCTGTTTTGGTTTCTTTTTCAAAAACGTGGCTTGACTTCAGTGTTTGTCGCTGCACCGGCAGTCGTGTAAACGAGCGAAGCCCTGGCGGACACTGGACAGTGTGTTAGGGACCGTAAATGGAGCCATAAATGGCACTATATATAAATGGCAATAAATGGCATATATATATATATATATATATATATATATATATATATATATATATATGTATATATATTGCAAAAGAGAGCCATAAATGGCGCAAAATAGGGACGCAGAGTGGACGACATAAATACGGCCCTTTAATTGCCGCTTTTAATCAACTACTGGCGCACTGCGCTCCGTCACGCTCGCAAATCAGGGCCTTGTTGTTTTTGTTTTAGTTCTTGTTTTTGTTGTTACTTGTGGTCGAGGCGCCGCCACCTGGCGGCAGTCGCACGGGTCGCTCAGCGCGCGTGATTCAAAATGAGGCTATCAAGCGTGTGCCCGCTCCCTTACTCTGAAAGTAAATTTATTATATTTATTTAAAAAAAAACGACGAGTACTGTCACCTTTATCTGTTGAGTAAAATAACAAATTCATGCTTGCTGGTCAACATGGTCATCGACCAACAAGGATGACATTCTTAGAGAACTAAGCTTTGGAATTAGCGTAACTGAAATTTTACAGTGTGCAGAGATGAGCGCGCGGCGCGTAGCGTAGCTCGATACAAGTATACTCTCATCCAAGGAATGTGACATCGCGTTTGAAACGGATGTGACGACATGTCACGATCCCCGGAGCATTGCGTCACATTCGTTTGAATGAGGACAAGCTAATTTATGGCGCTGCTTCACATCCAATCGAGTGTGACATAATGTTCAGAACAATGTGGACATCTTTCCACATTCGTTTCAACGTAATGTTACGTTCCTACAATGGCTCGCTTACTATGCCCCTCTACATTGATCGGTTTAGACGCTGTGACCAGAAAACCCCGGCCAGAGCCGGCCGGAGCGGTCGGGTTCTTTTGGCTCACAGTCAGTTGACCAACTCTTCTTTTCGTTTGCTCGCCTGATCCGTCTTTTGCCGAAGTGTCCTGGAATTTGGTGTGTTTGAGGGTGACGGAGGGGAGGGAGGTTTGTGGGCTGGTTCTTCGTCTCGTTTGGCTGCTACTCGTCTCTGTCGATCTGTTGGATTGTTGCTGCATTGTTGTGGAGGGCCTTGACGGCTTTGCTGGCACCTCGAAGCCGGTAAGGCGCTGTTGCCGCGTCGCACAGTGGGCCGGAAGACTGTTGGAGGCGGTCGGAAGTGTAGACGCGTTTTGAGCTCCAGAGTCGCTAAATGAGACTTGAACCGGACGTGTGACCCAATCAATGGATTGCTCTGCGAAGGAGGAATCCATTGGTGGGGTCACTCGTTCGGTCCGAGTCCTGTTTGGCGTCTTTAGACCTCAAATCGCGGCTAGACTTTTGGCCTCCTCCACCGGTCTTCTCGCCCCCTGTGCGTGGTTTCGTAACGGAAGGGTCACAGATAAGATGACAATCAAATGCGTTGTTGGTTAGAGTCTACACCGAAAAAAACTTACCTTTTCCCCTGAACAACCAATTTGTAGATTAAATTTGAGGTTCTGTTGTTCTGCCCTTTGTCTTGAACCAGCTTGCCCTTGTCGTAGTGCTCCATTGTGTTGGACTGGTGGTGAGTACTCCGGATTCCCGTTGGGTAGAGAGCATCGTGGACAGTCTTGACCTCGAGCCAGCTTGGGCCTAGTTCCTCCGGTAGTCGAGCTTTTGTTTGTAGACTTCGGATTTTTGGTTCATTTCGTCTCTTGACGCCACTTTTCATGCACGCCTGCTCCGCGTTCGCGGTACAGTGGGCCAGAAAACCGGTGGGGGCGGACAAAACTCCGGACGCGTTTTGAGCTCCAGAGTCGGTAAACAGGGCTCGAATCGAACGTGTGAACCCACCAATGGATTCCTCGTCCGGAGAGCAATCCATTGGTGGGGTCACACGTTCGGTTCGAGTCTCATTTAGCGACTTCGGAGCACCAAACGCGTCTAGAGTTTAGGACGACTCCACCGGTCTTCTGGCCCACTGTGCGCGGGACGCCGAGACACAAGTTGACACGTCATATGCGTACACTGGTAAAACTGAGGCCTACCACAGCGCTTTTCGTGAAGCGAGCAGCCCGTATGTCCTCCTCGCGAAGCGTACAATCACTCATGCTCTCTTTTCCTTGTTTCTAAATTTATAGGGGCATTGCACAGTAGGCCAGAAGACCGGTGGAGGCGGCCAGAATTCTAAACGTGCTTTGAGCTGCAGGGTCACGAATCAGGACTCGAACCGAACGTGTGACCCCACCAATGGATTCCTCGTTCGGAGAGCAATCCGTTCGTGGAGTCACACGTTCGGTTCGAGTCCTATTTAGCGACTTAAAAGCTCAAAACGCGTCGGCGACTTTGACCGTCACCACCGTGCTTCTGGCCTACTGTTTAGTTTTACCAGTGTAAGAGGCCCACACGCTGTGCCGCACTTGTTTCTCTTGTTGGCGCGCTCCACTCACTCGTGTTGTTGTTGTTGCTCCTCAGGTGTGTCAGCTCGCCGTGATGTCACCCGCTGTACTCCGCCCACTTGGCCCACTTGCCGTCCTGCCCTGGCCCGGTAAGTCGCCAGTGACGTCATCGATCAATCACTGTAAGTCTCGAGGCTTCCGATCCGAACCACCGACTCAACCGGCCGTCTAAATTGATTTTTTCGAATTTTTATTTGTGATGGGGGACAAACACGTGGGCGTGTTTCTGTTTCCAAGAATAGGGACACGGCGACCGTTTTGGCACGTTTTCATTTCCCCGGCTCACTCTTTACTCGCGTGATATACAGTGGTGGGTTTTTAGCAAACCTCCTCCCCCCCCCCCCAAATCCCCCAATCCACTAACCCCTCCCTCTTTCTTTTTCGTGAGCTTTCCCGTTCGGGTGGGATATTGAAGTGTGTGTGTGTGTGTGTGTAAAAGTGTGCGTGTGTGTGTAAAAGTGTGCGTGTGTGAGTGTGAGTGCGTGTGTTGCCGTGTATCGGACTCCACACCGTCGCTCCTGCCGCACTAACAGTATAAAGCTCGTAAAAACATGGATCAGGGAGGCGCGCGGCGCGGCCTGGGGCGGGACCTTTATGGGGATGGATGAAGGGCTGTCGGGACGCGTCAGTGTGTGTGTGTGTGTGAGTGTGTTTGTGTGTGTGTGTGTGTGTGTGTCTGTGTGTACTATTATGTGTGTGTCTCTTCCTGTTTGTATGTACGTGAGAGAGAGAGAGAGAGAGAGAGAGAGAGAGAGAGAGAGAGAGAGAGAGAGAGAGAGAGAGAGACACGCGCTGCGGTGGGGTCGTTCCCCAGGGTCGATGGATGGAGTGGGAAGGTCCCCACGGCTACTGCTCGGCTGATATGTTTAATCAGTTTCGATTCGTGTTTTTCTTCTCTGTTCTCTTTTTTCTCTTCTCCATTTTTTTTTTCTTTCAAAATTATTCGCCAGCGCGTGCCCGCGCACGGACGGACGTTGTGTATGCGGTGTTTGAAACTCTGACCAGACCAGATGTCGTTGGTGAATGATAAAAATCGCGCGACGGACGTGATTGTGAGTGTGTGTGTCTGTGACTGTGTGTGTGTGCGTGTGTGTGTCCGTGTCTGTGTGGCCCTGGATGGTGTCATTATGCTTTCACCCAACACGCCATAGCTGTGGCCTGACCACCAGGCCTTACGAATGGTGACCATTTTCGTTTCGGGACACGCAAATAGTCCGTGTACGTCTATACTGTATGGGCGAGTTTGTCTGTGTGTGTGTGTGTGTGTGCCTTTGTGTGTGTGAGTGCGTGTTTATGAGTGTGCGTGTGGGGATAATGCACGACTCCGTGTCCGTGAAACAGCGGTGACATTTTGCACCTGGACTGCGGGCGCGTTTGGGCGGGCAGGTGTGCGTCCATCTGTGTCTGTCTGTCTGTCTGTCTGTCTGTGAGTCTGCCTGTCTGTGTGTCTGTCTGTGTGACTGTCTGTGTGACTGTCTGTGGATGTCTGTGTGTCTGCCTGTTTCCCTGTCTGCGGGTGTCTGTGTGTCTGCCTGTCTGTGTGTATGTCTGCGTCTGTCTGTCCTGTCTGTCTGTGTGTCTAAAAAGGCGCCTTGGCAGTGTCGCGCCTTGCTCGCGCCCGTCCGGCGTGGGCGTACACTGGGAAAGAATTTGTTGTGGCGGTCTCCGTTCCCGAGTTCCTTTTCCTCGCCCCAACCGTATCGGCCAGTATAAATTCGCATTTCCTTGCCTGAAGAAAGTGGTGTGCGTCCTGATGACCCCCTTCCCCCTCACCTCCGCTGCCCGCGTTGAATGGGGTAGTAACTCGGCCGCGATAAGCATCCCCCCTCCCCTCCCGCGCCGCGTTATTTTGGGGTCACCCCCTCCCCTCCGCTCCTTTTCCTTGGCATTTGTAGTCGTCGCGGGACGGAGGGGGCGGGGGCAAAACTCGTCAAAACTGTGTTGAGCGCGCTATCGGTGTGGCGTCTGTGGCCGTGGATCGGGGATGGCGCACAGTGGGCCAGAAGACCGGTGGAGGCGGCCAAAACTCTAGACGCGCTTTGAGCTCCAGAGTCGCCAAACAGGACTCGAACCGAACCTGTGACCCCACCAATGGATTGCTCTCCGAACGTGGAATCCATTGGTGGGGTCACACGATCGGTTCGAGTCCCATTTAGTGACTCTGGAGCTCAAAACGAGTCTGACGTTTTGACCGCCTCCACCGGTCTTCTGGCCCACTGTGTCAGCTTGCCGTCTGTCGGTGGTGTTGAAGTCGGAAGCCTCGCCGCGACCGTCGCGTCTGTTTGACTGACCGTTGTTGTTGTCTCTGTCTGTTGCAGGGGATAAGATGGTGGTGGGAGGGTGGGCAGGGTGCGCATGGCGGGCCCAATGAGAGAGCGCCCGGGGGACAGGGAACCCCCTGCGAACAACTTCGAATATGACGAGCAGGAGTGGGACATAGGCATCGGCAGCCTCATCATCGACCTGGATGCGGACATAGAGAAGAACGCTTCCACTGGGATGGCGTCTGCCGCCGGCGCGGCCGCCAAGGCCGCCAAGCTGGCCGTGGAGCACTCGGCCACGGTGGACAAGGGCCTCAAGATGAAGATCAAGCGCACCAAGCCGGGCACCAAGACGTCCGAGGCCAAGCACGAGATCGTCAAGTCGAACGAGCAGCACAACGGCGAGGAGAAGGGCGCCAAGCACGTGGCCGCCGCGCCGCCCGCGGCGCCGCCCCCCGGCCCGGCCATCAGCAGCAACAGTAGCAACAGCAGCCCGGCCAGCTCGGGCAAGCGGGGGTCCAGCAGCCACCGCAGGGACAAGGTCAAGGACAAGTCCACCAAGCCGACCTCCGGCAGCACCACGCCGTCGGCGCTCCCCGACGTGAACGGCGTGGCGGCGTCGCCGCTCACGTCGGCGGGGACGACGGTCACCACCACGGCGACGCTCAACGCGACCACCACCACCAACACCACCACGACGTCGTCGTCGTCGACGGCGGCGTCCACCACCACCCCGTCGACCACGACGACGACCACCACCACCGCCGCGGCGGCACAGCCCCCCAGCGGGCAGCCCGGCGCCGCGGACCGGCCCGCCAGGACGGGGGTGTTCACGGGGGCGTCGGGGCCGGGGCCGCCCGGCGTGGCGCTCGCCCCCACGACCCCCAGCAAGCAGGGCCCCCAGGGCCAGGGCGGCCAGGGCGCGCAGGCACAGCCGCCACCCGCGCAGCCCTTCCTCAACGACGCGGACGCCGACCGGGGGCCGCCCGCCAAGAAGGCCAAGGCCAACTCCGAGTCCAAGGTGAGTGCAGTGTAGTGCCGTACAGTGCAGTGGGCAATTCTGTGCCGCCAGCCACTTCGGGCAACTTATCCGCGGGCAAGCCCTTTGAAGCACGCCGCCCAGTGGGCCAGAAGACCGGTGGAGGCGGCCAAAACTCCAGACGCGTTTTGAGCGTCAGAGTCGCTGAAGGGGACTCGAACCGAACGTGTGACCCCACCAATGGATTGCTCTCAGAACGAGGAATCCATTGGTGGGGTCACACGTTCGGTTCGAGTCCAATTTGGCGACTGGAGCTCAAAACGCGTCTAGAGTTTTGGCCGCCTCCACCGGTCTTCAGGCCCACTGTGGGGCAGCCGGGCGCACTGTTTGTGAACCCTGGTGCCCAAATTGCTTGCAAGGGTCCCTTTGGCGGGTCGCGTCCGCGGGGCGTGGCGGCGAGGCCCACCTGGCGACCTGGCCTTTCCGAGTGGACATTTCCTTGTCGGGGCCCTACTCGTGCTCCTCCAGGCCCCTCGAGTCTCGGGAGGGTCGAGGGCTCTCCGGACCTCTCACAGTGGACCTCCATGGAGTCTGGGCGTGGGGCGCGAAGGGCCATCCACTGATGACGTGAGCACGTTTTGGGCAACTTTTTCCCATTTGCAACTTGCACCTTACCAATGGGATTCCTCGTTCGGAGAGCAATCCATTGGTGGGGCCACACGTTCGGTTCGAGTCCCATTCAGCGACTCTGGAGCTCAAAACGCGTCCGGGACTATGGCCGCCTCCTCCTCCGGTCTTCCGGCCCACTGTGCGACGAGGGCGGCGCTGACGGCGCGTGCGCTGTCTAGAGTGGACTCCGGCACGCTGCGCCGGCCGAGTTGAGTTGACAGGGAAAAAGTGGCGCGGGCCGGTCGCTCGGCAACCGGAATAAGAGGCGAATTTGTTCCCCTCGGTGCGTCCTTTGCGTCGCCACCGCTGGAGCGCTGGAGCCGGCCCTGCCGTTGTTTGTCGGGTCGCTGCGCTGCCGCGCCACTGCCACCGCCACGCCACTGCCACGCCACGCCACTGGAGGAGGCGTGGCGGCGCCGCGTCGCGGGAATGATGTTACAGTCAATTTGACGCGCGACCCTCCCCCTCCCCTCCCCCTCTCTCTCCTTCGGGCTGCGCGCTCGGCTGCTCCGGGTGATTTTCCTCTTGCCGCCCCCTTTCCTCCACTCCCCCTCCCCCTCCCCCCTCCCGCCGCAACGCGAGGTCGGCATGCGACTCTGCGACGGCCCCTTCGCCCGCGGTCCTTTGGGGCTCAGCGAGCAGACTGATTCCGAGAGTCGTTTTCGTCGCTCTTGTCTCTCTCTCTCTCTCTTGCTTATGGCAGCGGCGTCCCGTGCGAGAGAGAGAGAGAGAGAGAGAGCGGCGAAGACGGAATCAGTCTGCTGCGCCGCACGCCGGCCGGCCTACATAGTAAGGAAGGGCCGTCTGAAAATTGAGAGAGAGAGAGAGAGAGAGAGAGAGAGAGAGAGAGCTGCTGCGCGAGTCCGAGGAATTCTCTAAGTGCGACTGAGATAGACGCTTGCGTTGCTCTCGGACGTTGCCGCGAGGTGCAGGGCTGGCCGAGGGCAGGGAGAGAGGGAAGAGGGGGGGGGCCTCGGTCGTTGCCCTGTCTCTGTCTGGTCCGCGCTCTCGCTCAGGGGTTTGCATTTGAAATGGCCGTTTGATGCACCACGCCCTTTGATGTGGCGGTCTCTCCCTCTCACTCCCCCCCCTCTCTCTTTTCGAGCCTTTATTTTTGGGCCGGCCAGTGGGGACTCTGCCGGAGGGCCTCTGGGCCTCCCATCGATCGGGGCGGGGCGGGGCGGGGGGGCGGGGCGGGGCGGGGCGGGCGCTGCGCCTGGTGGAAGAAGTGAGAAGATTTAGCGGGGGACAGGGCATTTACGGTGGAGAAGGGGTAGTTGTTGGCGGGCAGGTTCAGGCGCGGGTCCAGTGGGGGTAAAGGGACAATTGACCTCCCACAGTGGGCCAGAAGACCGGTGGAGGCGGCCAAAATTCTAGACGCGTTTTGAGCTCCAGAGTCGCTAAATGGGATTCGAACCGAACGTGTGACCCCACCAATGGATTCCTCGTTCGGAGAGCAATCCATTGGTGGGGTCACACGTTCGGTTCGAGTTCTGTCTAGCGACGCGAGAGCTTGGCTGCTGTTGCCTTGGCTGCGTGGCCTCGCCTCTCTGGTGACGTCGTCGTCTCCATCATCCTGGCGAGTGCACCTCGTCGAGGTGATGGCACGACGGCGTCCTGCGGGCGGCGCGCGCGTCGGCCGTCGCGTTTTATGTCCTCCCGGCCTTATTTATATTTTTACTTCCGTTTTCGTCTTTTATGGCGAATGATTTCCCTTCCAGTCGGTTTGGCGTGACGTGGCGTGGCTTCTCGCGGTGACCTCGTGGTGGCGGGGCGTGGCGGGGCTCGGCGGCGTGGCGGCCGAATCCCTGAGAATAGCACGCCGGGCGGCGCGGCTGCTCTCCAAATAGCACACGCAGCGCGGCGCACAGTGGGCCAGAAGACCGGTGGAGGCCGTCAAAATCCCGGACGCGTTTTGAGCTCCAGAGTCGCTAAATGGGACTCGAACCGACGTGTGACCCCACCAAGGTTTCCCTTGTTCGAAGAGCAATCCATTGGTGGGTCACCCGTTCGGTTCGATCCCTTTAGCGACTCTGGGCTCAAAACGCGTCGGTTTTGGGCCGCTCCACCGGCTCGGGCCCCCACTGTGCCGGCGGGCCCGCAGGGGGCGGGCATGCATCCTTCACCCCTTTAGGCCCGGGCCCTTTTCCGGGCGGGCCCGTCCCCTGCGTTGTGCGCCGCCGCGGCGGGGGGGCCCGCAGGCACACAGGGGCGGGGTGGCGCGCTAGCCGGGCCCTTCGGCGGGGCTGCCGCCCCCCCCCCCCCCCGGTTTTGGTTTGAAAAAATCTTGTGCGACGCTTGTCCACACTCTAACCGCCAATGCCTCCCTCCCCGCCCCCCCCGGACCCTCCCCACCCCCCCCCCCCCCCTCACCGCGCCGCCGGCTCTCTCGTGCGCCTCGCGGTGGGGGTGGCCCCAGGGCCACTCTTTGCGGGGTTGCCTACCCGGGGGGTTCCGGGGGCCCTGTCCCCCTCCCCCCCCCCTTTTTTCTCTCTCTCTCCCCTCTCCCCTCCCTCCTCTCCCCCCCCCTTTTCCCCCCCCCCCCCCCTCCCCCCTCCCTCCCCTTTCACCCCCTCTTCTTTTCCTCCTTCCCCCTCTCTTCCCTTTCTCTCCCTCCTTCTTCTTCTCTCTCTTCTCTCCCCTTCTCTCTTCCCTCTCTCCCCCCTCTCTCTCTCCTCTTTTCTCTCTCTCTTTCCTCCACCCTTCGGGCCCTGCGCGCTGCGCCTTGCGCCCTCCTTGGCGGTGGGGGCAGGAGGAAGATCGATGCCTCGCTGGCGCCGAGAAATTGGCGATATAAAATGCATTAAAGCGGTCGGTAAGCGGAGCCTCGGCGGAGCGACGCGGCGGTGAGTCAAGATCCGCTCCAAGGACCCCGCGGCCATCGCTCTGTCTCTCTCGCACCCGTGCGGGACGCCCCATGTGTGCGACAGAGACGGAGCCACGAAAGCGACTCCGCGGAACTTTTCTGCAGGGCCGCGCCTGGGTCCGGTTTTGTGAGAGCGTGTGACTCGCGAAAATTGTAGACGCGTTCTGGCTAGACTCGCTAAGTGGGACTCGAACCGAACGTGTGACCCCACCAATGGATTGCTCTCCGAACGAGGAATCCATTGGTGGGGTCACACGCGCGGTCCGAGTCCTGTCCAGCGACTCTGGAGGTCAAAACGAGTCTAGAGTTTTTGGGCGGCCTCCACCGGTCTTCTGGCTCTCTGTGCGCCTGGTTTCCGAGGCCCGGGGAAAATTGCAATCGGCTGTTGCTGATCTGTTTCTGATCAAGTTCCGACGGCGGCCTCAAGGCCCCGCCAGGCCCGGCGAGCCGCGCGCTGATTGGTTGGAGCGGCGCGTGACGGGAATGGCGAAGACGCGCTCCGTATGGATCGGCGGGAATCAAAAATGGAATGGTAAAAAGTGTCGCCTCTGCTCGCCTTTGATTCGGCCGGAGGGCCCAAGGGCGCTATGGGGCGTGCCGACGACTGGGCTTCGGGTCGCTGGGTCCGGTTTGTTGGTATTGTTGGCTGAATTAATGACAGTGTAGGGGTTTATTGTCGCGTCCCGGGGGGAAAGGGGTGGGGGCGGAATGCGCCCTCCTTGAAGGCAGTCCCCGCCGGCGGCGTCCCCGTGCGGCCGAGCCACGGCCGAGCCTGCGACAGTCTGACATGGTTATCAAGGGCCATCGCTTGCCGCCCCGCCTCGCCCCGCCCCGCCCCGCCCCGCCGCTCCCCGTTCCGGCCGTAGGGCGAGCGGCCTCCGTCCCCCGGGGGTTCGCTGCTGGGGCCCGGCCGCCGGACTTGTTAATAGATAATTGTTACGGGCCTCACCTTTCATACTTACCTTCCTGCCTGCCTGCCTGCCCTCGTGCTCTCGCTCACTCTCCCCCTCTTGCACACTCTTCCCCTTTTGCTAGCCCACTCTTCCTCTTTTGCTCCCTCTGTCTCTTTTGCTCACTATGCCCGCTCACTCTCTTGTTTTGCTCAGCCTCCACATTTTGCTCACTCTCTACCTTTTGCTCACTCCCTACCTTTTGCTCACTCTCTACCTTTTGCTCACTCTCTACCTTTTGCTCACTCTACCTTTTGCTCACTCTACCTTTTGCTCACTCTCAACCTTTTGCTCACTCTCTGCCATTGGCTCACTCTCTACCTTTTGCTCACTCTCTACAATTTGCTCACTCTCTACAATTTGCTCACTCTCTGCCTTTTGCTCACTCTCTGCCTTTTGCTCACTCTACCTTTTGCTCACTCCTAACCTTTTGCTCACTCTCAACCTTTTGCTCACTCTCTACCCTTTCCTCACCTCTACCCTTCGCTCACTCCCAACCTTTTGCTCACTCTCCACCTTTTGCTCACTCTCCACCTTTTGCTTACTCTCCACCTTTTGCTCACTCTCAACCTTTTGCTCACTTTCTGCCATTTGCTCACTCTGTGCCTTTTGCTCACTCTACCTTTTGATCCCTCTCTACCCTTTGCTCAGTCTCTGCCATTTGCTCACTCTCTACCCTTTGCTCACTCTCCCCTTTGCTCACTTCTCATTTCGCCGTGTCTCTCCCCCTTCCCCCCTCCCTCGCTCCGCCCTTTGTTCCCCAGCAATGAGGCCCGAAGTGTGAACTCTGGCGACGCCTTTGTGGCGGCCGCGCTGAAGGCAGCCGAAATAAAGCGGCTGAAAGCCGCCGTGTTGTGTGAAACTTTAAAAGCTGCGGGGGGGGGGGGAATTTTCCTTGTCAACCTGGCCGCCATGTGGTGGCTTTCGCACGGTCGACGGGCGTACAGTGTAGCAGTACACACGCCGTGCGTTTACAGCGTAGGGCGCAGGGCGGGCGCCCCCTCGCGGCAGGCGCCGGAAGCTGTCGGCCGCGTGAGCGCGTCGCAGTGCGTCGCCGCGCCGCCAGGGGGCGCCGCCGTGCGGTGGGCCAGAAGACCAGTGGAGGCGGCACACACAACTCTAGACGCGTTTTGAGCCCCAGAGTCGCTAAACAGGTCTCGAACCGAACGTGTGACCCCACCGATGGATTGCTCTCCGCATGAGGAATCCAAAGGTGGGGTCACACGTTCGGTTCTGGTCCCATGCAGCGACTCTGGAGCTCAAAACGCGTCTAGAGTTTTGGCCACCGGCGCCGGCCTTCTGGCCCACTGTGCGGTGGCGCCGGGGTTGTTGCTCTGGGTTGACTGGGCCGGGCGGATTGATCAAGCCAAGCCGGGACACTGCAAACATTAAATTGGGAATCAAATTTTTAGAGTGGACGTGGTGGCGCGATTCTTGCATCTGTCTCGTCTTGCTGACGGCCCGGCGCGGCGGCGATCGTAGTGTGTTGTCCTCGTTGCTGACGGTGGCCTTGTTGTTGCAGGAGCTGGTGGACATGTGCGTCGGCACGAGTGTGGGCACCATCACGGAGCCGGACTGCCTGGGCCCTTGCGAGCCCGGCACGAGCGTCACACTGGAGGGCATTGTGTGGCACGAAACGGAGGGAGGTGCGTATGACGGTGCGTTGGCCGAGCGGGCGGGGCGCTCGACCCCTGTACCGTAGGTCGGAGGTTCGAGCGAGTAGTTTTGTTTTGGTGTTTTCCTTGGAGTTACGTGTGTTGCACAGTGGGTCGGAAGACCGGCGGTGTCGGTCAAAATCCCGGACGCGTTTTGTGCTTCAGAGTCGCTAAATTGGACTGGAACTGAACGTGTGACCCCACCTATGGATTGCTCTCCGAACGAGGAATCCATTGGTGGGGTCACACGTTCGGTTCGAGTCCTGCTTAGCGGCTCTGGAGCTCGAAACGCGTCTAGAGGTTCAGCCGCCTCCACCGGCCTTCTTGTCCACTGTGTGTTGCCGATTTGCCGGTTTCTAACGCTGTGCTTGGTGTTGCAGGCGTTCTCGTGGTGAACGTGACGTGGAGAGGGAAGACTTACGTCGGGACCTTACTCGACTGCACCAGACACGACTGGGCGCCGCCAAGGTACAGTATGAGAAAAGAGAGATCTGTCGTGACTTATTCTAATCGTTCATCTTTTTGATTGATTGACGCTTAACCTTCCCCTCGTCGTCTTGTGCTGGTTTTTATTTCTTGCGCGATTCGTCTTATATTTTGTTCTTCAAGTTTAAGTTGAAGAGAGTTGGAAAACATAGAGGACGCAACTTATACCTTTGTTTTCCGGTTTTAGAGCCGTCCTTGTGTTTTCCGACCCTCTGAGACTGGCGGCTCGTGCCTCACAGTGGCCCAGAAGACCGGTGGAGGCGGCCAAAACTCCAGACGCGCTTTGAGCTCCAGAGTCGCTAAATGGGACTCGAACCGGACGTGTGACCCCACCAATGGATTGCTCTTCGAACGAGGAATCCATTGGTGGGGTCACACGTCCGGTTCGAGTCCTATTTAGCGACTCTGGAGCTCAAAACGCGTCGAGAGTTTTTGCCGCCTCCACCGGTCTTCTGGCCCACTGCGTGCCGGGGTGTGCTAACCGAGTGGCGTTGCAGGTTCTGCGACTCGCCGACCAGCGACCTGGACGCGCGGACGCCCAAGGGACGCGGCAAGCGGGGCCGGGGCGCGGCCAGCACGCCGGGCGGCGACCTGTCCAACTTCACGGAGACGCGGTCGTCGGTGCACTCCAAGCTGCGCAACGGCGGCGCCAAGGGTCGACGGGGACCCGGGTCGGGCAACGGGACGACGGTGGGGTCGCCGACGCAGTTCCCGCCGCCGCGGCTCGACCGCCAGGACAACAAGCGCAAGAGCAGCCGCACGGAGACGGAGGAGGTGAACGGCGCGGGCCAGGGCTCCGCTAAGAAGAGCAAGGCCGCCAACAACTCGTCGAGCCCGCCGCCGTCGCCGGTGCTGCTCGAGTGCCCCGAGCCCAACTGCAGCAAGAAGTACAAGCACATCAACGGGCTCAAGTACCACCAGTCGCACGCGCACGGCTCGGCCGATGACGACGACACCAAGGACGTGGCCAGCTTGTCGGAGAACGACGAGAGCAACGCGGAGCCGCCGAGTCCGCGGCCGAGTCCGCGCCCTAGTCCGCGGCCCAGCCCGCTGGCCGCGCGTGCCGAGAAGGACGAGGAGGTCACTACCGTACCTGACACCGCCGCGGACAAGGCCTCGGGGCCCAGCCCCGCGCCGCCCGCGGCTACCCCGCCCGCAGCCGCGCCCGCGGCGCAGGTGGACGTGCCCGCCGTCGTGCCGGACAAGGTCATGAAGACGGGCGTCCCCGGCGTGCTGCGCTTCGGCGTGGCGGACGAGTCGCCCCCGACGGCCGTCGTGGTGCCCGGGCCCCAGCCGCCCCAGCCCATGCAGCCAGCCGCCGCCGCCACGGCGGGCGCCCCGCAGCCCGCTGCCGCCGCCACCCCCGCCGCCGTGTTCGTCGCCAAGGGGACGGTGACCCCCGGCGGCGTGGTCAACAACGCCGCGCTCCGGGGCATGCCCCTGCAGGGCGGCATCCAGGCCGGCCTACCGGGCCTGCAGCCGGGGCTCCAGCCAGGCCTGCAGGGCCACCAGATCGTGGCCGCCACCAACCCGCCCACCACCGTGAACCAGGTGAACCTGGTGGCCTCGGCGACCATCGCCGGCGCGCAGCCACCACCGGCGGGCGCCGCCGTGTCCGTGCCCGGCCCCGGCCAGACCGTCGGCCTGCCGGTCACCACCACGGCCAGCATGGTCGGCGCGCCGCCGCCGCAGCCCGGCCAGCTCCACCTGATGCACCCCACCATCAACAAGGTGCCGCAGTTCAAGGTGAAGCCGGCCTCGGCGCTGATGCCCGAGAAGGAGAAGACCGCCGTGCCCGGGCCGCTGCCGCTGGCCGGCGCCATGTCGCTGCCGGGGAGCCTGGCCATGCCGCTGCCGGGGATGCCGGCCGCCTTGCCGGGGTCCTTGGCGGGGCCCGGCGCCGTGGGGCTGAGCGCGTCGCCCGCGCTGGCCAACGCGGGCGTCAACCCCAACTCCAAGACGCCCAACCACAAGAAGAAGGCGCGCAAGTCCCCGGCCGGCAGCCCGCACCCCAACCCCAACGAGCATCCCTTCGGCGCCGAGAACACCGGCCGCGACGGCGTGCAGAGCCCCGCGTACTCGGACATCTCCGACGACGCGGCGCCCACCTCGGAGGCCGACGACAAGGCCAAGGCGGCCGACAAGAAGGCTGAGGGGTGCCAGGGCGCTGCCGGCCACCCGCTGCAGCCCCACTACAACATGTTCCCGTTCTACGGACAGCCGCCCTATCTAGTCCCCGCCGTGTCGGCCGTCAACGCGGACGGCAAGCTGGCGCCGCTCAAGGACGGCGAGAAGCCGGGCGACGCCAAGGCGCTCAACGACAAGGACAAGAAGGAGGACTTCCCGCCCAAGGGGCTGCCGCAGCACTACCCGTACTACGGCTACGTGCCGGGCATGCAGGGCATGCAGGGCCTGCAGGGGTACCCGTACGGCCTGGAGCCCGGCTACGCCATGTCGGTCATGCCCTTGGACGAGAAGAGCAAGGACGGCAAGAACAGCCCCAGCCCCGCCGACCTCAAGCCCCCCGTCGGGCTGGGGGCGCCCATGGGCGCGCCGGGTTTGAACCCGAGCCCCATCACCGTCCCGAACCCCAGCAAGATCAAGCTGGAGCCGGGCAAGAAGGAGCAGCACCCCAACGACAACCACCAGATCCTCAAGGAGAGCATCGAGATGAAGACGCAGATGGCCGGCTTCATGTACTCGCGGCCACCCGGCGGGCCGGGGGCCGGGCAGCCTGGACAGCCCGGGCAGCCGCTGCTGACTGCGCCGGGGCAGGCGCCGGTCGGGCAGCAGGGGCAGCAGAACCACCCGACGCAGGGCCCTTTAGGGCAGAGTCAGCCTCCAGGACAACCGCCTGGGCCGCCGCCACCGGGACCGCCACCCCCGGGGCCGGTCGGGCCGGCCGGCCCGGGCGAGGACATGAGGCGCTACTACATGTTCGACCAGCGTCGGAAGGACGGCCCCCAAGGCCCCCAGGGGCAGGGCCCGCCGCCCCCGGGGCCTGGAGCCAACCCCTCGCTGGCGGGGGGGTCTGGGCCGGGCCAGGGGCCGGGGGACCCGCGCGACCTCCGCTCCGACCTCCGCACGGACCACCTGCGGCAAGACCTCCACCGGGTGGACCACCGCGTCGACCACAGGATGGACCACCGGCCGGACCACCGACCGGACCACCGGTCAGACCACCGACCGGAACACCGGGCCGACCACCGGCAGGACCACCGGCCGCCCCTGAAGGGAACGCCGCCGCCGAGCAAGGTGCGGTCGACGCCCAGCCCCAGCCCCAAGCACAAGGACGGCAAGGCCGAGGACAAGAAGGGCGAGGAGAAGAAGCAGGAGGGCGTCAAGCCCACTATGGAGACGCAGGGGCCGCCGCCGCCGCCGACGTCGTCCTACGCGTACATCCACCCGGGCTACATGCAGGGCCCGCACTACGGGGCGCTGCCCTTCGACCCCAACCACCCAGTGTACCGCAGCATGAACCCCATGCTGGTGCCGCAGTACCTGCACCCGGGCCTCAGCCCCGGCCTGGGCAGCATGAGCAGCATTGGCGCCATGGGCAGCATGCCGGGGGGCATGCCGGGCAGCATGCCCCGCTACCTCGGCCCGGAGGACCTGTCCCGGCCGCCGCCTGGCGGGGGCGTTGGCCCCGTGGGCCCGGGGGGCCCCAAGGCGCTCGAACTGCTCCAGCACCACGCCAGCCAGTACTACTCGTCGCACAAGATCCACGAGCTGCAGGAGCGGGCGCTTAAGTCGCCCACGCCCAAGACGGGGCCGACGAGCGCGTCGCCGTCTGGCGGGCCCCACGGAGCCCCTCCCCCGCCCCCGAGGCCGCCCAGCAACCCCTTGGGCCCCGCCACGTCCACCGCGTCGACCGCCCCCGGCGCGCCGCCCCCGGGGAAGCCCGCGGCCGACGGCAAAGACTCTAGGTCGCCGCCCCCGCAGAGGCACGTGCACACGCACCACCACACGCACGTGGGGCTGGGCTACCCCATCCTGGCCGGCCAGTACCCCGCGCCGTACGGAGGTAAGCCCATGGTTCAGCCGTAGCGTTCCGCGTAAGGGTGTCTGACGTGTCCGTGGGTGTCGTGCACGGTGTCGTGGCCGTGTTGGGGCGGGCCTACTGCCTAGGCGGGGTAGCACTGCCTTCACTGGGCGACCACGCAGTCCGCAAGGCTGCTTGCCCTTGACGGCGGACTTCTTATGACTTTTTTAATAGCTATGTGACTTTTTTTGTGTACTGCCATGTAAGGGTAAAATTTGTTGGCCTTCGAGATTGTGAAAGCCGCAGCCGGGTATGCATCGTTGGGTGCTGTTGTGTGTTCGTTGTCTCAGGTTAACCAGGATTGCATTGCTCACAGACTGAAAGCTTTTGATTTTGAAATGATTTGTTAGCATTGCTACCTGTGAAAATTTAGCACTGCCGAATGTGCCTTTGAATGGTACTGCACTGCAAGAAGCCCCAAGTGAAGGAATCTATTGTTTCCACTAATTTACTTGTCTGGTGCTTTTAACTCAATATTGCATGTGAGCTTTCATTTTTAAAAGAAATTTGGGTTAAAATTTACCTGTGTCTTTCCTTCCCCACCATAAAACACAACGGTGTGGTACACCGCATTTTGTTAGATAATAATTGTTATGTCTGAGGTAAATTAGTTAGTAAGACACCGTGTAGTATAAAAAAATCAAGACTGTGATATCTGTAGGGGCATTACAGTGTTGGCTTGTTAGGGAGCATAAGTAACAAAAGTGATCTGTATGATTTTGCTTGTCCTCAAATTAATTTTCCCTCCTTCCTCTTTATGTCTCGTTTGTAATGCGAGTTGCTTAATTATGCAAGGAAGTTGCTCGTATATCAATTTTGGCAGTTTTGGGCTTCAGGTCAAATTTTGTACCTAATAATTTGTATTCAAAACTTTGTGTATCATCTATCAAATAAGTAGGGCTTTAGCATGACAGTATTTTATAACATATGTACTGGTATAGCTCCCAATGTTACCTTCTTCCCCATGCAGTAGTTCTGCACTAGTGTCTCGCTCCATGCTATTTGAACCCCAGAGTCTCTCTCAAGTCATCATTCCTATGTTGACGTTCTAGTTGTGAAAGGAGTTCTTTAGTGACTTAAATTTGACTTTGCCTGATGGCATTACTATTACTGGTGATATTGTTTTTGCATCTGAATACTAATGAATATTTGACTTATTTATGGAACAAACATTCTGCTTTTTGAGAAGTTATTCTAAATTGTTTTTGAACAAACTTAACCAGCATTTGACTTACTGAGCAGCTCTATGGTTACCTGATTTAGAGTGTTTTGCATTGCTGGTTAGATGCTGTGACTTAAAAATAAAATGCTTTGAATTACATTACAACAATCAAGTGTTGAGTATGCTTGAATATTATCTCATTGAAATGAACATGGGTCTTTCAGGATAGCTATTAAATCACAATAGGCACTTTTTCATAAAACTGACTCTAGAAGTAGTAAGATTTCATGGAATAGGTTAACTCACATAGGTTTTGAGTCTTAAGAGGCCCTTTTTTACTTGGGACCGATATTCGGAGCATTAATAGTAGCATTTGTTGGTTTTACAGCAGCGGCAGTGCTTGCGAGCCAACAAGCTGCAGCTGTTGCCGCTTCAGTCATCAGTCCATATGCTCCTAAATGAGGGGTGAGTCCTCACCAAGTCGTGATGGGTTAAATCATTGTCCTTGGGATATTAGATGTATGTCAAACACTGGAAAGTGCCCATGTATCATTTCTTGTGCTAATTTTAATATTTCTCTGTCCTAGTCTTTCCAACATTGATTCATCCAATGTCACATTTTTGTTGTTTTAACGTAAGTTTTTACAAGACTGTATAACACTAAAAAAATGTAGTAGGACTTCCATGTTGGAAGAAGCTTATGACATTTTTGTCCTGAAAATGTTATTTGATTTTAGCATTCAGGATATGTTTGTGATAGAGGTATGTGGTTGTTCGAATTCAAACTTGCTATATTCCAAGCTGTGGGTTTCATTCACTATTAGCATATGTGACTAGATAGGATTTATATTATGCCGTAATTTTTTTATTGCGTCTTCTGCAAGGTTCACTTCAAGTTTGAGTTCGAACTTAGTTCTGTTTTCAAACCTCTAGTATGTGATTATTAATATTTAGATGTTTACTATGAGTTATGGGCAGACTGCAAGCTTGATGTTGTGCATTGAGACAGGCAGTGGGATCAATTGACCAGTAAACCATGTTGGTGCAATGATTAAGAAAAATACATAAACCTTTCAACGTTTCATACAAAAAGAACTGGAAATTTGTGAATATGCGTGGATGGAATTATGTTAATGAGTCTTTAAATTGTATATTTGTCTCAGAGAATTTAAAGGTGCTACTGGAAAAAAAAAAGAATTGACTTTTATCTATGTACAAAAGACAAAAAGATATTTTATCTGAGCATTAAGTTCAGGAAACCTTTGAGCATACCTAGATATTTGTGCTGTAGCAGCTGACTTGCTAAAGCGTAACTTTTTAAAAATTGAAACAAAAAATATTTGTGTAGAACTTGTTCCAATTCTTCTGTGCTTGTAAATGTGAAAATTTCTTGCCAATGTGTTGGGATTTTGAGTCTCCTCTCCTTCCTCTTTTTCCAATGTGAGCAGTATGGCACCTCTTTAAACTGTATGATAAAAAGATAGTTTTTATTTCAAGCAGAATGAACTGCAGCTTGTTGTATTAGTTGCAAATTTTTCATTATAATTTGAAGTCCTTCCAGCTTTAGTCCTCTTTTCTCTCATTGTCTTTGATTACATTCCAAATGCTTCCAATGCTTCTGATGGAAAAAGAGATGTGAGAGGCACTTTTAACAAAATGTCCTATAGACCAAGATCGCAGTTGGCACAGAAAATGCTTTTAACAAGGCAGTGAAACTGAAGAAATGATCTTTATTGATTGATATCTTTCATTAATCTAGGTGACATGATTTTGTAGATGTTTTGTTCAGGCAGCCAATTTACTCTGTAGATAGAGAGGGCAATCGTTAGTTTATGTATTTTTAAAGTTCTTTTTAGAGAAAATATTTGTGTACATAAAAGCAACAATTATATTTCATTACTTGTAATTATTACCAACAATGAAAACTAAAGTTTAGGAAATCTGCTAAGGATGTGACTGTATTTAAAGAAAATATCCTGAGCAAATGCTGTACATTGAAATGACATTGTAAGCGAAATTTGAAACTTTGCAAGCGTTATGTTATTATTTTGTAAATTGCATTGTTGAGTGTAAATGCTATGAATTGTACTTATATGATGATTATGTTCATATTTGCAACCATCTTGTGTTATCTGAAATATTATTTTTACATGCCTGAAATCAAAATTTCTCAAATTTATACTCTTGTTTTCTTTTCTTTTTTTAATCTCGCTTACATTGTTACCCTGATAAATTAAATAATGATCAGTGATTTTTTTTAGTTCCCATTTCTTTATTATCCTTATCCTTGACAAAGCCATACCATCAATCAATGATGCGCAACATCATTATCACGAAGACGACTTGAACACTTTCAAAAGTCCAAAAGCTGTCAGGAGAAAAAGAAAAAAAATTATTTAACACAGTCTGAAAAAAAAATTATTGTAAAATCAGATACATTTCAAAACAATAAGAGGATGAACATACCAGTTTGGGGAGGACCTTCTCCACGTGTTCCATTTCAACTACTGACTGGCCGCAAAGCAGAGCTTGGTTACAAGATCTAGCAGCTGCTTCCACGATCAAAAGTTGAACCACTTCTCCCACCAATCTGACAGCGTCGTCACCAATTTTAGTTTTCCCATCTTTGAACTGCAGTCGCACAATTTGTTTTACTGCTTCCTGAGGAAACAAGAGCAGCGATTTAAATGATGTGAGCAAACTGATTATTTTTAAATCCCCGTGATAATTCATTAAAAAACAAAAACAAGGGGGAGTACGGGTCCAAAGATGCAAAACAACAGAGAATATCCTAACCTAAGAAGGGAATATCGTTCCTGTATATCACTTACTAGTTTTACGCTAGATTTGATATCAGACACATCGTCCTTCGCATTCATGTTCCTGGTCTCTTGCGGAATGGAACAATCACAAATCAATGATCACTCGAGACGAAACCAATGAAAAACAACTTTGAATCGCGATTAAAAGACCTCTACTTCTTTAGCGGCTTGCCAACAATGAAATTCTAAAAACAGAGAAACACAGCAGGATGACTGACATTTTACTCCTAGAAATACAGTAAAAAAGCAAGCCTAGATGATGGTTATTTTACTTTAATCCACAAATATGGGCTAAAAATGGTTCGAATGATGTCAAATCAGATAATGTGAAGGTGGGACTTTCCTATCCCACACGTTGGCACGAGTGTACCCGCCACCCCAGCGCCACCTAGCGCCACCTGGTGGGGAAATGGCGCACTGAAGTCGAATCCGAATCGTGGAGGTGGAGGGCTCTGCGAACGTCACACACAACGGCAGTTCAGTTGTTCAGTTGTGTTGTTTGTAGGCCTAAGTGAAAGACGTGTCTGCTTACTGGGCGGTAGTGCGGGTCGACTTCAAGCGTCGCGTGTTGTTTAGAAATCTTTGGAGGCGATAGCGTTACTTAAAAGTTGTGAGACCGAATTAAATCGAACGAAAACATGCACTTTCATTAGCCCCTACACAAGGAATGGTAAGTTTTGACACTTCAACCCTTGTCAAGAGGGATGGACTTTTGACAGCTTGACTTAAGGGTTCAAAGTACAGGGGGTGAACTGTCAACTCTGCAGGGATCACGTGGGGTCACTCGGCCGTGGTAACGTCCCCGCCAGGCCGCCAGTGCTTGTTATGCCAAACTGCAGACGACTCAAGTGACAGAAAGAGGTTATGCTGGGGATACCTGATGCATGTTGTGTTGTGGTACTGACCAAAGTAGCATAGTGGGTCTCGGCCACGGGACGGGACGATGACACCCGTGCAACAGTTTGGCAGTGTGGGTGCGAGCCAACGGTCTAGGCCGAGCTTCCATTGACCAGTTGCCTCTTTAAAGGCGAAATTTCGGTTAAATGTAGGAAAATGTAATGTATGTCAGTGTAACATATGACCATGTTTATGACCCAAGTTGACCTGGTCCCAGCTACCTTCAAATTATTTTGTTATCAAGTTATTTTGAAAATTTTGTTTGCTTGTTTGTTGTAGATGGTCAATGATGTCAAAACCAGGCAGCGGAGAGTTTGCACCAAAAGCAGAAGTGGAAGACTTCACCCTTCCACCATGTCCTGGAGAAGAATCAAGCAATGGAATACCAGTGCCGAGCTCTTCCGGGGCCATGGGGGCCATGGAGGTGGGGCCTGCTTCAAGGAGCAGCGCTGGGAGCGCCCCACAGTCTGCTGGCAGCATGGGTCACGTTGGAAGGGGCCACATGCGCAGTGCCAGCCATGGCGGAGTCGCTGCGTCTGGGCTGACAAGCTCAGGGTCGACAGGGCTGGTCAGCAGGCCCTCAGCGCTCAAGTCAAGCCGGGGACACCAGCGTGCCTTTTCCCAGGGTCAGATAGAAGGCACCTCTGACTCTGCTGGACTTCAGCGCGGTCACAGTCGAGTGGGATCAAGAACGGATTTCATTCTGCCCCCTGGTCACAGAGACACGGAAGGCAATGATGCTGGGAATCGTGCTCCAGGGACCAGCGCTCACAAGGCTGGCCGAGGCCACTCCAGGCAGGCCTCCAGGTCCGAGTCAATTTACACCCTTCGCAATAACATGGGTGTGCCGTTTCAAAGAAGAATGATCAACTTCATTTTGAGGCGTGCAGAGAAGACAGAATTTGAGCGCCCCTCCTACAGAACTATAGTTCCAAATCACCTCGTTCCTCCCAAGACTCCGCCTAAACTTCACCCCAATGGCAAGACAGTTAATAACCGGATTAGGACTACCAAGTACACAGTGCTGTCCTTCCTTCCAAAGAATTTATTGGAACAGTTCCATCGTGTAGCTAACTTGTACTTTATCTTTATCATATTACTTAATTGGTTTCCTGAGATTAATGCCTTTGGAAAAGAAGTGGCTATGATTCCTGTGATGTTTGTGCTTGGTGTGACTGCCATCAAAGACTTATTTGAAGATCGAAGAAGGAAGGCAAGTGACAAGCGGATCAACAACTCAACATGCCGTGTTTATGTGAGGTGAGTCACCCCCTCTGTTTGATTTCTCCTTTACTACTACTCAGAAAGGGTTTTCCGACCAGACCAGTTAAAACCAGTGAGATCTTATCAGTCATTGCATGTATCCCCCGCCCAGCTAAATGCAGGCCATCTGGTCAGAATGGTACAAGGAGAAAGGTTGTTTATGAGTGGGAGTGGAAACGGTGTTGACAGCTACATCAGGAGTGCAAAAACTGACAGGGAATTACAATTTATCTTGTTAATCCCACTGAAAGTCCTATGAGTGTCGCTTGTGTCATGCTAAATCTGTAGCCAAGCTGTCCAACCAGAAGTGTTGTGAATCATGGAAATTTCAGTTCAAATTTTATTCCAGGATTTTTCTTTTTGTGGGTGTGTGTGGAAAGTACAGTCTTACGAGTCAAGTGACAGTCAAGCATTTTTCAATTTCCAAACATTTTGAAATTTCTGTTTTTTGCCACTTTTTTTTCTGTATTTTTATGGTTTACGAATGTTTTATGGAGAAAGTTCTCTATCTGCAGAGAAAGTTCTCTATCTGCATTCTCTGGGTGCTCGTAGACGTATCCTCCGTGCTGGGGGCTTGGCCCACGCGCGGAACTAGTCCTCCCGCCCCTCCCCCTCCCACCCAAAGGCACCCAAATAATCGTCTGAAAGCTAGGCAAAAAGCCGTACTTTGCTCCTGTAAGCAGGCAGAAAGTGCTACTTTGCCTCACGCCCCCCTCCCCCCTTCCCCCCCTTTCGAGGCCGCTTCTGGATCCGCCCCTGGCCTGGCCGTGAGTAATGGTGGTACTTCCCTCGCTGCGGGCGGCCATGGCACAGTGGGCCAGAAGGCCGGTGGAGCGGCCAAAATTCTAGACGCGTTTTGAGCTTCAGAGTCGCTAATTAGGACTCGAACCGAACGTGTGACCCCACCAATGGATTGCTCTCCGAACGAGGAATCCATTGGTGGGGTCACACGGTCGGTTTGTGTCCCATTGAGCGACTCTGGAGCTCAAAACGCGTCCAGAATTTTGGCCGCTCCACCGGTCTTCTGGCCCACTGTGCATGGGCCATCGGTGTCACAGGGATGGGATGACCTGGCCGACCCGACGGGGGTCTGGGGCAGTGTAGGGCAGTGGGGTGGGTCCGTGCTCTGTCGCTAGTGTTGTTGTTATTGTTGTTGCTACTGGTGCCGTCCGGAACAAGGACGTGCTTAATACTTAACGACTCCGCGACTCGCCCAAGCCACGCCAAGGTTCACGTGTGTTCGCGTGTGCGTTAGTGTGTGTGTGTGAGTGTGTGTACTTTCCGTGTGTGAGTGTGAGCACTGCGCTGGCCCGGGCACACTCCCGTTCCGTTTCCAGTCAAGGTTAAAAAGCTCGATGCTCCAGAGACTGTCAGGCTGGATTGCTCCAGATGCTGCCAATAATGCCCGAACTGTCAGCACAGTTCGTCGTGTGAATAACGTCGGATTGGATTGCTCCAGATGCTGTCAATTATGCCCGCACTGTCGCCACAGTTTGTCGTGCGAATAACGCCGGGTTGGATGGCTCTGCTCCAGATGCTGCCAATAATGCCCAAACTGCCAGCACAGTTCGTCGTGTCGTGCGAATAACGCCGGTTTGGGTTGCTCCGCATGCTGCCAATAATGCCCGCACTGTCGCCACAGTTTGTCGTGCGAATAACGCCGGGTCGGATTGCTCCAGATGCTGCCGATAATGCCCGCACTATCGCTACGGTTCGTCGTGCGAATAACGCCGGGTGCTTCGTGATGCCGATAGCGTCCTATCGTGACCTTTAGCGTGGCTGCACTCGCCCCTGTATGTCGTGGAGTGTCCGGTCGCGCCGCGTCGCGCCGCATGACAGTGTCATGACACGAAAAATTGACCGCTGCGGCGGCGCCGCATTGCAGTGCCGTGCCGGCCGGCCGGCCGCACGGAAACACGCGAAAACAAATCATCGAACAGTGGATTTGCCAGAAGACCGGTGGAGGCGGCTAAAATTCAAAAGGCGCGTTTTGAGCTCCAGAGTCGCTGAATGGGACTCGAACCGAACGTGTGACCCCACCAATGGATTGGTCTCCGAACGAGGAATCCATTGGTGGGGCCACACGCTCGGTTCGAGTCCTTTTTAGCGACTTTGGAGCTCAAAACGTGTCTTTAGAATTTTGGCCGCCTCCACCGGTCTTCTGGCTCTGCATGTGGTGTGGGACTTCCCCCGAAAGTCAGTCGACCGGGGACCCAGTACGGTCCATGCAGCGTGTCAGACCAAAGTGTCTCGCCATTTTGCGGCTGCGGTGGTACTTGTTGGCCATGTAAGTTTGGCGAGATTTTCAGGCCCGACCAAAATTTTGCATGACTTCGTTGCCCCTTTTTTTGCGCTTTCATTCAATGTCCTTTCAGTGGCTTTCCTGGTGCCGGTCGTGCCGGGCACGCTGGACACTCCAGTAGTGCTGTGGTGGCGACCGCCGGCCGACTCCGAACAGTCTTTCTCTCTCCCTCTCTCTCGCACTCATGGGGCGTCCCGCCTGGGTGCGAGAGAGACAGAGCGACGAAACGATCTACGGAAGCAGGCAGGTGCCTCGGCAGCGCCGCGCACGCGAAGGTACTCCACCGTAATGGCCTGGTAATGGCAATGGCACTTTTGTCAGATATTTTCCTGGCGCATCGCGGCGGCCAGGGCCGGGGTGACTGCTGCCCTTCCCCGGCACAGTGGGCCTGAAGACCGGTTGAGGCGGCCGAAACTCCAGACGCGTTTCGAGCTCCAGAGTCGCTAAACGGGACTCGAACCGAACGTGTGACCCCACCAATGGATTGCTCTCCGAACGAGGAATCCACTGGTGGGGTCACACGTTCGGTTCGAGCACCGTTTAGCGACTCTGGAGCTCAAAACGCGTCTAGAGCTTCGGCCGCCTCCACCGGTCTTCTGGCCCACTGTGCCCCCGCCCCTTCCCCCCGTCTCGCGGCGAGTTGACAATTGGGTCGGATGCATGTCGGCGCTCGCCAAAGAGGTCCTTTCTTTTTTTGAGGCCAGGGCGTCGTGGATCGCGCCACTGTGTGAACGCGCAGGGTCTCCTTGAGGCGGCCGGGTGACGCTCTCGGGCCGTCGCGGAATCTTTGAGAGGGAGTGTACTCGTTGGGGTCCTTGGCGCCGGCGACTCCCTGGACTGCACATTCGGCCTTTCGACCAGTCTGGGGAGAGACAGTGGGCCAGAAGACCGGTGGCGGCGGTCAAAAATCCCGGACGCGTTTTGAGCTCCAGAGTCGGTAAATGGGACTCGAACCGAACGTGTCACTGAAAAAAAAGTCTAGTTACAGCAACTAGGATTTTGGTGCCAATTACCAGACAGTCTAATTGAATAGGAACCAACAAGGAATCTAGTTACAAATACCAGACTGCCTAGTTGATCTCTGTCTAGTAAAAATAACCAGATTCTTGGTAAACCTTACCATGCCATCAGACCCCCAATCTAGTAAAATTAACGAAACTCCTAGTAAAAATTTTGAATTGTGAAAGGACAAAGCAGAAGAAGAAAATGGAGTTTCTCAACTCTACGGCCCCACAAGTACGCTGGGAGATTGTAAAGCTGAGAAGAATTATTTTTCGGTTTGCTTCTGGCCGGGATCGAACCACCCACCTTCCGCTTACGAGCCAAGCTCGTTACCACTGCGCTATCACGCCACATGGGAGAGCCGAGTGTCCCCGCCCGGTGACTCTGCGCATCGTTTTGCAGCTCATCTAAGGCAGCTAAAGGAGTGGAATTTCCGGCTACTAAACGGTGCTTTGAGATTGCAAGGAACGAAGGGATTCAAGACGCATTGTTAAAATTTAGTCTCTTGAAATTTTAAATTTGACGACAATTACTAAGCAGTATAGTTAAATTTACCAGATATTAACTAGAGTGGTAAATGTTACCATACCCATGCTAGTAGATATAACTGAAAATCTAGTGAAAATTACAAGGTTTTTAGTTATTATTACCGGTGCTCGTTTAACTAGGAACAGTCTGGTACTTTTAACTAGACTTTTTTTTCAGTGTGACCCCACCAATGGATTGCTCTCCGAACGAGGAATCCGTTGGTGGGGTCACACGCTCGGTTCGAGTCCCATTTAGCGACTCTGGAGCTCAAAACGCGTCTAGAATTTCGGCCGCCTCCACCGGTCTTCTGGCCCACAGTGTGCACTCGCTCGGCACGCGCTCCTCGATGGCGTCCGCGACGCTGGACAGCGCTTTCGGCCAGTCATGGAGTGACTCTGGGAAAGGCCCGCCTCGCCGATGGAATGGCAATTTTATGGATCGGGACGCGTTATGGCGGCGGCCGTCGCTCTGTCTCTCTCGCACTCGCGGGGCGTTGCACGGCGTTGCACGGCGGTGCGAGAGAGAGAGAGAGAGAGAGAGAGAGAGAGAGAGAGAGAGAGAGAGAGAGAGAGAGAGAGAGAGAGAGAGAAGAGAGAGAGACGGAGCGCGTGTGGCCGTGAAGGCGACCCGGGCCACGAAGCACGCGCTGAAAAGCGGCGCCGGACGCAAGGACTTATCCCTGCCGGGAGTCGAACCCACGCCCTCCGGCTCCGGGGGCCTCCCAGCGCGCAACAGCTTTCTCGAGGCGGCTGTCGTTGCGTGACATTGTCACCGTGAGTGTGTGTGTGTGTGTGTAGGTGTGTGTTGGTATGTGTTGGTATGTGTTGGTATGTGTTGGTGTGTGTTGGCGTGTGTGTGTGTGTGTGTGTGTAGGTGTGTGTTGGTGTGTGTTGGTGTGTGTGTGTGTGTAGGTGTGTGTAGGTGTGTGTTGGTGTGTGTTGGTGTGTGTTGGTGTGTGTGTGTGTGTGTGTGTGTCAGTGAGTGTGTGTGTGAGTGAGTGTGTGTGTGTTGGTGTGTGTGTGTGTGTGTGTCGATCTAGAATCTAGATCACCGTGCCGCGGCCACCTACGCCACCCTTCGATGCATCCACACGCGCACACACGCACGTGCCTTCTGACTGACTCACAGACAGACAGACATACAGAGTAGACAGACAGACAGAGTA